GAGGTCTCAACTCCTGTCATTGGCTTGAACTCCATGCAGCAAATGGCATCGAAATACCTTATGTTGGTTACTTGGAGACTGATGTAGAAGTTTTGGGCAAAGTGGTCCCTAGTCGGGGAATTCTGGTCGTTAAGGACCCCCCCGCACATTTACCCCAGCCTAAGGTGCCAGGTATTCTAGGTATGAATGTGATCAAAGAATGCTACAATGAGCTCTTTCAAAAGCATGGTGCTGCCCTGTTTGACCTCCCTTTTGTTCATCAACCTTCCTCCCCTTGGCGCAAAGCCTTCCAGCAGTGTCATCAGGTCGAGACAAACATCCCTACAATTGGCATGGTCAGGGTAAGGGGGCGGAGACCAGTGTGCATTCCTGCTGGTACAGTGAAGATAGTTGCCACCACATGTCCCCAGGGTGGGTTCGGTGCCACTGGTGCCGGTCTTTTTGAGCCACTCACTGCTAAAAGCCATCTCCCTGCAGGTGTGCTAGTGTCTCCAGCCATGGTCACAGTAGTGAGGGGGACAGCCTATATTCCAGTGGTAAATGTAAGTGCTACTGATGCTACCCTTCACCCCCGCACCCCCGTTGGTACGCTGAGCCCTGCTGAAATTGTGAGTTTACCAAAAGGAATCACTGAGGTGTCTGTTCCCCCCATGACGCAGGTCACGGCTACCATATCCTCTCAGGTTGGCTCAGATGCCCTCTTTGTAGACTCCATCTCAGCTGTAGACTTGTCAGTACTCCCTCCTGCAGATCAGGTCAAAGCCCGGTCATTATTGAGGCAGTATGAGACAGTGTTTGCCACACATGATGGTGGTTTGGGGTGCTCTGACCTAATTACCCATGAGATACCCCTCCTAGACGAGGTACCAGTCCGTCAGCGATATAGGAGAGTACCCCCCTCAGAGTATGAGGCAGTAAAGGCACATATTCGACAGTTGTTAGACAGCCAGGTGATCCGAGAGAGTAGCAGCCCCTACGCCTCTCCAATCGTCATCGTTCGGAAGAAAGATGGCAGTATCCGCCTTTGTGTCGACTACCGGCGGCTGAATAGCAAGACGTGCCGGGATGCCTTCCCATTGCCGAGGATCGAGGAATCGCTTGATGCACTCTCAGGAGCAAGGTGGTTCACGACCCTGGATTTGGCAAGTGGATACCATCAGGTGCCTGTGGCAGAAAAAGACAAACTGAAAACTGCTTTTTGCACACCATTTGGCTTGTTTGAATTCAATAGAATGCCATTTGGCCTTTGTAACGCACCTAGCACCTTTCAGAGACTGATGGAGCGGATGTTCGGGGCCCAGCACTGTCAATCCCTACTGTTGTATTTGGATGATGTTGTCGTCTTCTCTTCCACAGTGGATGAACAGCTGGACCGTTTGGGGGCTGTGTTGAACAAGCTGCAGCAAGAGGGCTTGAAAGTGAAGCTGAGCAAGTGTGCATTCTTCCAAAAGGAGGTAAAGTACCTCGGCCATGTCATCTCTGCTGATGGTGTCTCTACAGATCCGGATAAGATCTCTGCAGTGGCAAACTGGAACTGCCCCACTACTGTGTCGGAGTTACGATCCTTTCTGGGCTTTGCTAGTTACTACAGGCGCTTTGTGGAGGGATTTGCCAAGCTTGCTGCCCCACTTCACCGATTAGTTGCAGAAGCTCAACGGACCCACAGCCGGAAGCAGCAGCAACCTCTGGGGGACAGTTGGACTGAAGAGAGTGACAGGAGTTTCCAGGATCTCAGAGCAAAGCTGGTGAGTGCACCTGTTCTGGCTTACGCAGACTTTTCCCTTCCATTCATTTTGGAAATTGATGCAAGTTATGGCGGTCTAGGAGCAGTTCTCTCGCAGGAGCAGGACGGAAAAGTGAGACCTGTAGCATATGCCAGTCGTGGGTTGAAACCCACAGAAACATGTCCAACTACAGTTCTATGAAGCTTGAGTTCTTGGCATTAAAGTGGGCCATGACAGAGAAATTCCGGGACTACCTGCAGGGCCAAAAATGCATTGTCTGGACTGATAATAACCCCCTCAGCCACCTAAATACAGCAAAATTAGGGGCTACTGAACAGCGCTGGGCCGCGGCGTTGGCAGACTTTGATTACACCCTTCGGTATAGATCAGGCAGGGCCAACGTTAACGCTGATGCACTCTCAAGAAGGCACCCTGTGCCACCCCAGGAGGTCATAGAGCTGCCCCTATCAGGGACATTCATTCCCAAGGCCTTGCAGAAACCTTGCAGCTCAGAGGCCCATAATCTGGTAATCCAAGCTGCCATTTCTGCCCTTCCATCACATTCAAGCACTGAGTTGGCTGCTCTTCAGATGGCTGACCCAGTTATAGGGATGTTTTTACAGTACTGGGAAAGCCACAAGCGCCCAGACAGGGCAGACAGAGCAACCCTCCCTCCCCAAGTCCTGGAGCTGTGTCGGCAATGGGAAAGGATCACCCAGATGGATGGACTGCTGTATCGCCGTACCCAGAGGCCAGATGGAGGAGAGGACTTCTACCAACTACTCCTTCCAGGATGTCTAAAGAGTGAAGTTCTGCAGCAGCTACACCAGGGTCACGGCCACCAGGGGATGGAGAGGACAACGGATCTTGTACGACAAAGATGTTACTAGCCCCACATGCACAGAGACATCAAAGAGTGGTGCCAGCAGTGTGAGCGCTGTAAACTTGCCAAGGTAACTCAACCACACACCAAAGCACCCATGGGCCACCTCCTGGCCTCCAAACCCAATCAGATATTGGCAATTGACTTTACTCTCCTTGAACCCTCGCAAGATGGCAAAGAAAATGTCCTTGTAATGACTGACGTGTTTTCGAAGTTCACCCAGGCTGTAGCAACGAAGGACCAATGTGCCTCAACAGTAGCACATGTTCTGGTGACAGAGTGGTTTTACAAGTTTGGAGTGCCCGCTCGTCTTCACTCTGACCAGGGTAGGAATTTTGAGAGTGCCCTTATTCAACAGCTATGTGAACTCTACGACATTCAGAAAACCCGGACTACACCATACCACCCCCAGGGTAACGGGCAGTGTGAACGGTTCAACCGGACTCTCCATGATTTGCTCCGTACGCTCCCAATTGAAAGGAAGCAGAATTGGTCTAGATACTTGCCTCAGGTTACGTTTGCATACAACACCACCATCCACCAATCTACCGGTGAGTCCCCTTACTACCTTATGTTTGGACAGGAGCCTCATTTACCTGTTGACTTCCTTCTGGGAAGAGTTCCCGAACCTTCCCATGGAAGAGTTGAAACCTGGGTCCAGGAGCATCAAAAACGACTACAGGTGGCCTACGACGGGGCACGTTGGAGAATGGAGAAAGCTGCAAACTCTCGCAAGGAACGCCATGACGCTGGAGCTAATGCCAGCGACCTGCAGGAAAAACAGCTGGTCTACGTGAGAGACCACAGCAGAAGAGGAAGAGTCAAAATCCAGGACCGGTGGAGCCCAGTCATCCATGTGGTGATCAAAGCCCCCAGTGCTGGGGGCTCCACATATTCCGTGACCCCCTTGGAAGATCCCCACAAAGTGAAACACCTCCATCGATGTATGATCAAACCTGTACCTCCTAATCTTTGCCCTCAAGGATCTGCAAGAGAGGACCCCAATAATGCCCCCACTGAGAGTGAGGACCACGTGGCTATGAGCAGGGACATGCTTGAGGAAGAAGCGGGTGATGGTCTCTTTGTGGTGACCAGGTCCTTTGGTGAAGAATCAAGACCGCTCCAGATAATACCAGCCACTTCTAATAGTTCTCCTCTAAACTCATCCCTCGCAGTGGCTTCAGGAAGCGGGACAGAGCCCCCAAGGAGAACAGCTCGGAAAACAGCGGGTCAACACTCGAACCCTCATCGCCTGCCTGAGGTGGCAGAGGTTAGGCTACCTGGGGCTGTAACCTCTCGGGTCCCTGGTTTTAGTAGTATGGTAGCTGCATATTTTAGACCCTGGAACTAATCGGCTGTTATAGTACTGGGTGATATCGGCGGGTCGTCAATACAACAAATTGGGGGCAGATTGTAGCCGGCGGTACTGTTTTCTGAGGATTAGCTGTCAGATCATTTCTTCACGTGGCTGGGCCGCCACTGGCCCTTTAAGACACACCCCCCCTTCTTTAGTCAGCTGGCCCTTCCATATAAGGAAAACGCGCAGCTGTATGTAGTTCAGCATCTCCCGCTATACTTTAAATGCCCACTCACTCCTCACCCAAATCAGCTGTGACTATTACGAGTGTTCTTGTTCCAGTTATCGTTGTCTGGCTGATAGGCGTGTATTCCCCCTATACGAGGTATGTGAAGCTGCTGTTAGGATTTGTAACATTCAGTGTAGGCCTACCACTGAATTGTTAACATGTGGCCTGTAAATGCCAGGCTTCTTGACAGCCCCAGCAGAGACTGTGCAGAGAATCACCGTTGCAGAGGTGTCCAGTGAGGTGATAATTGAGTGAATGCGTTTGCATCAGAGGTAGGAGATTAATTGTATGTACACTGAAGGACATTCATATAAGTCTTTATACAATTTCTAATCTCCTTTCTCCATTTATTTTAGGATTAGTTTGCTACCGTTTTGCCTACCTTCTATGTTTTGCTTATTGACTAGTTTGTTGTATTATGTACAAACTAGTGATTTAATCTTTAAAGCGACAGCACCCTCATTGTAACGACCCACTCTGTCCCACAAGGTCTAATACTGTCTCTGTGCTTATACTTCTTCAGTGACGATCCTGGCCATACTGTGGAGTGGAGCATGTGGTTTGCTGGGCACTTTTTGCATGCAGATATGGTTGATTTGTAGTGAGTGTTTGATTGAATACAGCTACACGTGGTGATATTGTGGTTTTGGGGAAACCCTCAGCAGTTGGCAAGAAGAATCACTTTTTTTAACTATCATTATGTGTGATATTGTAATTATTATAGTTATTCTCTCCTTGTCAGAGCCAGCCTTCAATCGTGGGACTTATGTGTGTCGACTGAGAAAGATGAATAAGTTTTAATCTGCATTTTGTACTACTGAACTTTTACTTGATTATTTATATAATAAACGTTTGTAAACATTTGAACTTGAGGCCGCGTCCCTGCCCATCCTTGTATTCTTATCTGCGTGACTTGTCCTAAGGGCTCGTATTGGGGAACCCAGGTTAGCGTTAAGTATCCTAACCCCCTTTTATTATCGCAGCCCCCCCCCCTCCCCGGTGGGGCAGGTCACATATACATCAACACAGGCTCACTATTTGGCAAAATGACTAAGCCTTATATTGGCTACTTAGCGAGAATCAACTCAGTGAACAACAGATACCAAGGATGCTGGCTGATGAAGAAGACGACGAAGTAAGATAGGTAGCCAATATAAGGCTTAGCAGTACAGATACATGTTGGCTCACTATGTGGCAAGCCAAAACCAATTAAACTCAAAATATTTATATAACAGAGAAAAGCAGAAACTCCTCACATCCTCATACAATCTGGGACCAACGCTTCAGATGTAATGCCTGGAAAGTGCTAAAACTATTCATCACTATAAAAATTGTTGTAACCATTTTGTACAAATGGGATTATTTTTATATGTATTGCTTCAAATAGGGACACATTAATGTATTGATTCCACCAAAGTAGTGCAGCAAATCATTTAGTGCAACAAAAGACTTACATTCATTAAATAGGAATGTACTGGTGGACTGTTTGAGTGAAAAATAATGCGTGTATCCAACCTATGATTCGGTTCTGAAACTGAAGAGGTTAATCCTTGGTCCGTGCTTCGCTTTCACGGAAATCGGTAACAGTCATTTTTCGGTATTCCTGCTAAGAGACAGACACACTCCCCAACAAATCAGACAAAATCACACTGCTGTTGTGCGTTAAAAAACAACTGTATCTAGAATATTGATATTTTTTGAAGTCCTTCAGTGTAACACATTCCGCTTTGCTGAAGAGAACAATGCACAGGAATGCAGTAGCTGCCACAGTTCGATGGTTCAATGGAAGTTTGACTTGATAGCTCCCTTGATGTACTTGGGTAATGAATCTCATGGATTCATTAGTGTAACAGTCTTTATATGGTCTTGTTGAGACAGAAAAATGGTGCAGATTTAGGCTGAGTCGTGTCTGATGTCCAGTTTGCAGATTTGGGGGTCTGTCACCAGGGTGACGTTAAAGTTGTCTTCCTTCTCTGTGGGGATGTACAGCTTGCCGCCCATGCTCTAAGGAAAAGAGGAAGGAAATGGTAATTAATTAATAATTAATATTACAATAATCATACATACATTTGGTGATTACACACTTTTTGCAATTTAGATCAGAACAAATATATTATGTCTTGGTCTTAATTTCCTCGTGACTTGATCAGAATCAGGTTTATTGCCAAGTAGGTTTACACATACAGATGTTTATTGCCATAACTACACTGTAGCTGTGCTTATAACAAAAAACAAAAAGCCAGTTAAGGAAGATCAATTGTAAGAAAAGGACAAAAACAACTATTATAACATTCAAATTTTGAGAAATATTTACATGAAATATACATTAGATATACCAAAAAACTGTGTAAAGCATAATAAGTAGGGATGCACGATATTGGTTTTTTGAAACCGATAACTTCCTGCTTCTCAAGACCGATACCGATAACAAAAAAATGTTTACGCCACTAATTATTTTAACGCGATTAACGCATGTGTATTTTTTTTCCTCGGCCGCCCCGTAGTTTCAGAGCGCATCGAGTTTAAAATACCATCTACAAGCTGATGCTGACAGCCCCGCTCCTGCCGTCCGCTTGTGGCAGACCACACTTCCACGCTCACCGGCAGGCACCGACTGGCCATCTGGTGGACCGGGAGGGTGTGTGTATGTGTGGCCCGAGCGAGAGAGAGAGAGACCTTACGTGCATTGTTGTTGTTAGCATCTGGTGCTAGCTAGCTGCGCTAACGGATATACGGAGCTGTTTAAATGAAAACAGAGGAGCGACATTTCGCCACAACTGCGCCGAGCACTTGACTTTATGCAGGAAGCCAGACAGTGGGACATTGTACGAAAAGTCAGCACACTCAGCACGGATAGTGCGCAACATGATTGCAGCGTCCAGGCAGCTCCCGTTCGAGCATATGCCTTCAGTTGCACATAGCTCCAACGCCCATACCACTGTCCTGGCTTCACCAGTTAGGGAGCGCTGGATTTGTGAACTCCCCTCTTCCTAAACCACTAATACCACAGTACTGGCAAAACGGGAGGAGCCGAGTGAAAAACAAGCGCCCCTCATCCCAATCCACCCACACCGCAGTATTTTTTTCTTTTTTTTTACCCAAAAAATATATTGTATATTATCGGGGCTATTAATACTGGTATCGGGTTTATCGGGATGACGTCATAATTCCTAATATCGGACCGATAATTATCGGGCCGATAATTATCGTTCATCCCTAATATTAAGACAACAATATGGAGAGTATTGGTATGAAAAGTGAAAAGCTTTGTGTACAAATGTGCGCAGATCCGACAGTATCAAAAGGAACAAGATATTGATGGCATAGTGTGAATTGATTTAATGCATAGTGTCTACGAGTGTCAATGGGGGTCCCGAGCCTTGTATTTAAAAAAACACAGACCTTGTTGTTGTTGTCAGAAATGTCGCTGATGAGGTCCCGAGGTTGTGGAACTTCGGGGAAGAGGATCTCCTTATTCCTGTAGAGAGAAAGAGAGTTTAAGACCAGAGGCAAGCACACTACTTCATTCAAGCAGAGCTAAAAGGTGGAGGTGAAGACTCTACGTACTTCCTGCAATACACGATGGTCAGGACTGCCAGGACAGCAACCATCAGCGGCAGGATGATGGCCACATACACCCACGCATTGAGATCTGACTCAGCAGCTGCATGCAAAAACATCACAGACATCATGAGTGACTTATACAGCCGCAGTGTGTTCAAGCTACACCATTAAAACCAGTGGTGGATTTACTTAAGTACTGTAATTACACATTTTGAGGTACTTGTACTTTACTTAAGTATTTCCTATTACTTCTTCCTATTTCCTACTACTATAAACTTCTACTCCACATCATTTGAGGCAACTATTGTAATTTCTCCTCAAATACATTTTACCATTAAATGTAGCCCCCCCCCCCTCACCAGCTGCAACATTAAACATCAATGATAACCAATTATGATCAATATAATTTAGATTATTTTGAAAATGTTCAATGTGCATGATGAATACTTTCAGTTTTAGTACTTATGATGCTAATACTTTTGTACTTTTACTAAAGTAACATTTTGAATACAGGAGTTTTATTTGTACTGGAGTATTTCTACACTTTGGTATTTCTACTTTTACTTAAGTAAAAGATCTGAGTACATCTCCAGCACTTTTTAAAACAAGTAAATATACAGATAATTGAAAAGGACGAATTTCGACTATTTTCTTAACCTTAGATTTTATGTTGGAGAGTTTCATATTTTGAAATGCATCATATTTTCAAATAATTTGAATGTGTAAAGAAACAAGTAGTTAAACAATTGATCAAATAACTGCAAGGCATTTAAAAGAAAAATAAACCCCTCTGAACATAATGGACTACAATTATAAGTGTCACGAATAGGAAATACTCACGTAAAGTATTATATACCTCAAACTAATTAAATATAATAGATATAATAATTTCAATAAGATAAGAAAATAGATAAAGAGACGACGACCATACCAAAATACTTCTCGTCACTCAATAGTGTCTTTGCTCCAAGTTCTCCAATGGCATGAATAGTTATTCCGTACGAACACTTAGGGACAAACGTGAACTCAGCTGTTTCCCCGACACCAGCTAAAGACTGTGAGAAAGTGAAGGCACACAAATGATGTGGAATTTAAAGGTCCCCTATTATACTATTTGTCAACAATAGATTGCAGGTCACAGATACAAAACATGTCTCTGAAGTGTTTGGCTGAAATACCAAACAGATCATTAGCATCCCATAAACCCCTCTGTGTCAGCCCTGTTCCAAAAGTGCTGATTCTGTGTCTGTAGCTTTAAATGCTAATGAGCTGCTGCTGGCCACGCCCCTCTCTGAAATGATTCGGTTAATAAAACACAATGGTGCTCTAGGAGGAGATACAGGTGATAAGGTGTGTGTGTGGGGGGGGGGGGGGTAGATTTTGTATAATAGGGGACCTTTACATTAGAGACATTATTTTATGAATCTTAGAAACAATCACATACCTAATTTGAACTACTGTTGATTATGAACCAAAAGTAAATTGTGTTGTAGAATTAACAATTTATACTTTTCACAACTTAAATATAGTTTTATTTTCAAATTAAATTGCTCTGAAGACACCACTAGTAGCACAAACAGTTGTTTTCTACATTAGGTCCCATTATGTTTGTATTGTGCATCAACGCAATAATTTAAATAACATACAAGGAACAAAATGTGCCGAAAAATGTCTTTCTCTTTTTTAAAGGTCTATGCAAATGTAATTAGGAGGAAGGACATGACTTGAGGGTTACACAAATGACATGATAAGAAGAACTCCCTCGGACGATCACTTTTGCTTGGTCCCACTTCACAAAGTCACCCTTTAATAACCTTGTAGAATTCAAACCACATCTATTCATCTATATGGCTTGGAAGTAAAATATGTCAATGTTAGAATCAGATATTGAGGTGCTACTAATATTGTTCTCTTGTGTTTCTTACCTTGTCTTCACTGCATTCTTTGTATGTAATGACATACTCCCAAGTGATTTTGATGCTGGGCGGAGTCCAGCGGATTTTGAATTTACCCCCACTTTTGGTGACATTCCACTGCAGGGCAGGAGCTCTCACTGCATGGAAACAGACATAAAGTAACTAGGATACAGCCATACACAATGATAAGATAATGAAAAGCAACTGTGGCCTGTGGGAAAGTCCCTCTCAAACATTCTGCTTTCCTGCATTGTGTGATCCAATGGTGTTAGTGTAGGATTACACTTGAACACACTGCACACTTACACATATCTCCACAGAAACAACTACTAACAAGGAAGGAAAGAGACTCTAAGACTGAACGGAAAAGTGTTTCAACACACCTCTATGGGTCATTCCTAGCATTCAGTGCCATGGAGGTCCCCAATACATTATAGGATATATTTAGCCTTTAAAAGGGCTAATGCTTATTTGTAAAAGCTTGGTTGTACATGTTTAATCCCCCTCTACCTACAAAAAACAACGATATCCAGGATATTAGCTCTAGTTATAATAATTTTAGTAGGCCAAACTGCCATGCCCCTAAAGAGAATCAATGGGTTAAAATGACATTGTGCCTCAAAAGTAGTTTTTTGGAATGCTTTGTACAAATATATTTAAGAGGGTAAGCAAGATGGTCGCAGCGTGAGTAAGCGCATCTCAAGCTCGTCTGTTTGTCGCTGTTAAATTAGCTCTTTAAAGCTCATATCATTGATCCACATGATCTGAACCCATGAACATTTGATTAACATAGTAAAGCGGCTCACTACGGTCTCTGGATTATTGTATTTTTTGCATTTGCAACTATAGAGGGAAACATGTCTCTGCAAACTTTGTGGGACACGATTCAGCAAATCAAGACCGACATGCTGACTCACATTGACTCAAAAATGGATCCCATTCAAAGTAGCTTGAGCAGGATACACAATTCCCTGTCTAGTTTGGGAGACCAGGTCAATTTGTTAGAGCAGCGTGTCGGGGCTAATGAGGACAATGTACACGAGTGTGTCGCTCGAGTCAAGCAGCTTGAGAAAGACAACTCCTTCCTAATGTCTAAAGTTGATGACTTGGAGAACCGGAGCCGACGTTCTAACCTTCGCTTCGTAGGAATCCAGGAGTCCGCTGAAGGCAGTGACATTATCGGCTTCATGTCTCGGCTCATCCCGCAGCTCCTGGGGCCAGATGCCTTCCCTATCCTGCCGATCATTGAGAGGGCACACCGCTCACCGACTGCCAGGCAAAACTCCCGTGCCAGCCCTCATGATCGAGCTGCTGAACTTCCAGGACAAAGTGAAAATCCTTCGTCTTGCCAGGGAGAAAAAGTCTCTGGACTACAACAGGAAACACATCAGCATATATCCCGATTTCAGTCCCGAGCTTACCAGAAGACGCCAGAGCTTCGATCCAGTCAAACGCAAGCTCCGTGAACTCAACATGAAGTACTTTCTCCTCTACCCGTGCACCCTCTGCGTTGTTGTTGATGGCACACAACAACGCCTCTCTTTTCACACTGCCCAGAGTCCGACTGGTGCTGCGTCATTGCGTCATCGTTTGCGTCGTGACTAGGGATGCACGATATTGGTTTTTTTAAACCGATACCGATAACTTCCTGCTTCTCAAGACCGATACCGATAATAAAAAAAAATGTACGCCACTAATTATTTTAACGCGATTAACGCATGTGTATTTTTTTTCCTCGGCCGCCCCGTAGTTTCAGAGCGCATCGAGTTTAAAATACCATCTACAAGCTGATGCTGACAGCCCCGCTCCTGTCGCCCGCTTGTGGCAGACCACACTTCCACGCTCACCGGCAGGCACCGACTGGCCATCTGGAGGACCGGGAGGGTGTGTGTATGTGTGGCCCGAGCGAGCGAGAGAGAGACCTTACGTGCATTGTTGTTGTTAGCATCTGGTGCTAGCTAGCTGCGCTAACGGATATACGGAGCTGTTTAAATGAAAACAGAGGAGCGACATTTCGCCACAACTGCGCCGAGCACTTGACTTTATGCAGGAAGCCAGACAGTGGGACATTGTACGAAAAGTCAGCACACTCAGCACGGATAGTGCGCAACATGATTGCAGCGTCCAGGCAGCTCTGGTTCGAGCATATGCCTTGAGTTGCACATAGCTCCAACGCCCATACCACCGACGACATGTTTGTTTACTGTCCTGGCTTCACGAGTTAGGGAGCGCTGGATTTGTGAAAAACTCCCCTCTTCCTAAACCACTAATACCACAGTACTTCATCCCAATCCACCCACACCGCAGTATATTTTTGTTTTTTTTTACCCAAAAAATATATTGTATATTATCGGGGCTATTAATACTGGTATCGGGTTTATCGGAATGACGTCATAATTCCTAATATCGGACCGATAATTATCGTGCATCCCTAGTCGTGACGTAACCGTTTGCGGGCCTGCTTCATAAAGCCAAAACCCCCTGCCCCTGCGCCTGCCCCCGCCTCGACGTAAGCGTGACGTATGTGGTGCTTTTGCTCTGGCCGGACAATTTTTTGGTGCTCGAAATGAACCGGATTCCGGACCTAAGAGGCTGCTCCGCTGCGGTGTGAACAGGAAAACCCGGTGCTTTTCAAGCTCCAGCTCCGAACCGGCCCTGAAACACCGTTGGTGTGAATGAGGTATTAGCTCCGGAATCCGGTTCATTTCGAGCACCAACAAATTGTCCGGCCAGAGCAAAAGCACCACATACGTCACGCTTACGTTGAGGCGGGGGCGGGATCAACTCCTGAACAACAACAAAAAGCCGGCGTTTTATCCAGTTTGTACACAACGATGGAGAAACTTAACAAGCAGCAGTGGTCCACTGAAGAGACCAGCTACCTACTGGGAATCTGGTCTTCCGAAGAGGTACAGAGGAAGCTGGAGCACAATCGGCCATTGTTGTTGTTGTCGGTGTCAGCTGTGAGGGGTTTCCGCGCGGTTTGGCTTTATGAAGCAGGCACGCAAACGGTTACGTCATGACGCAAACAATGACGCAATGACGCAGCACCAGTCGGACTCTGGGCAGTGTGAAAAGAGCCGGAGCTAAACCGAAGAACCGGTTCTGAACCTGAAAAGCTCTAGCACGGAGCTTGAACCGGAGTTGCGTTGGTGTGAATGAGGTATGTGAGGCTGCTCCACTGCGGTGTGAACATGAAAACCCGGTGCTTTTCAAGCTCCAGCTCCGAACCGGCCCTGAAACACCATTGATGTGAATGAGGTATAAGTGACTTTTTCCTCGGTTTCCTCTCTTCTCTTGTTCTTTATTTTTCTCATCTTCTTTAAAATCAGAAACCTGTTTACGTGACGTGTCATGACTGCTGAGATGTTGTTGACACTCTCTTTTGTGTTTATTATAACTTTATTTAACAGGTGGGCACCCGCCTGGCTCTTTCAGTTGTGTTGTTTGTTTACATTTTACAGTGACGTTGACGGCACTTCTTCTTCTTTGGCACGTTCTTCTTTGGCTACTACTATTGCAATACTGCCCCAAGTGGCTGTTATTGTTAAATAATGTTTGTGTTCGTTCGGATGAATTTCTTTGAGCTATGACTTCTTTATCCTCTTCGTAATCCAGACTGAGCTCTGTGTAATTATTTATTATGTTTATGTTTAAGTTTACTCATGGTAATGCTCTGGGATTTGGTGTTCAGAAGCCTGTACTACGAAGCTGGTTTAACCTAACCTGGATATGTTTGAGTTAGCCGGTTGGCCTAATCCAAAACATACGCGCTCTCGCTAAACTGTACTACGACGTGGGTTATCAAGTGGATCGCTCAAGCCAGCCGTGTCCTATCTAGTTAGGTGCGCGTTCACATGAAAGGGGTGGTATTTGGAGCATTCGACCAATCACAAACATGGAGAAGCGTACTGACAGCGCAGCGCGTCATACTTCCTGAATGAAAAGTCAACTATAATATTAGACATATGAAGAAGTTAAACTTTAAACATCCATGACTTAAACACTTTATCCAGGATAAAAGCCACATAGCTGCACCTGCAAGGTGAATACAGCTGGTAAAAGAAAAAGTGTTTGAATGCGTACATTAACAGGTTTATGATATCGAGTGGATCTGACTTTAATTACATTTGACTCGAGTGTTTCGTCAACTTAATGTGTTGCTTAAAATAATACTTCTGCATACAGTATGTGACACTGTGAGTGTTGCACGGCCAGATACGGCTCAGCTGACTCAGATAAGGAGATATATGATACATTATGATGTGATATGCCGCGGACTGTACGTACTGTTACTTTGATCCGGTTACTTATGTTGTGGCAGATATTTAAGTAAGCTTTCTTAACGCTAATGTTATAATAGTCAGATTGCTCTGAAGATGGGAGGTGATATTCTATTAATGTTCACGTTCACACAGTCGGTGATTTTTGCCGGCCGTCTTTCCTGCAACGGCAGCTTTTCTGTATTGCCTTTCTCCTGTAATATGACTTGATCGCTTTAAACTCTGCACACTGAGCTCTGATTGGTCAGCAGCAGTGGCGGCGCTAGGGGGTGGCTACTTGGGCTCAAGCCCCGGATGTTTTCTGAAAAGCCCCGGATGTTTCACTTACCGGAGTCCACCAGAGAGGCATCCGCTGCGGGACATTAGCCTGCGTACTGCGTAGCCTGCCCTGAAGTAGAAGTGATCCTTCCTAGTGCCTGACGAGTTTTAAGCTAATAGCCTATACAGTTATGGATATTAGAAAGTTATTGTCATTGAAGCAGGCGCCACAAGCTGCAGCAGTATCAGCAGCAGCAGTATCAGCAGCTGACAACAATGTCATCACCAGCAGTGAAGAAATGGATAATGTTTCAGGTTTGTGAATCTAATGGTGATATCTGCACTCTGGCTGACTGAGTAAGAAGTGAAAAAGAGTGATGTGACGTTAATGTTATAGCTAGTAAACATGGAGTAACCACACTAAGTATACCCTTATGTTAGTATGTATAAAGAACATGACTAAAAATGATCCTAAGATGTAACGTTAACCCTTCATACCTCAGTCTACTTTTAAGACACTAAAATAACGTATTCCATTTTTTATTTTGTTTTCGCACGTGGAATTATACCGGCTCTCGTTTCAGTACACATAACAAACGGAACTGACAGGCAACCCTCTGAATCAGACTCTGATTGGCTGTGACTGCATCCACTCAGAGTGTCCGATTCAGAAACGTGACTCTTACACATTTTTTACGTCACAAACAAAGATGGTGGATGAGAATAGATCTATAAAACAATAAGCAATGCGCCAGAATCAAGGTGAGACTATACGCATCCTTTAAAACTCTACGCACATTCGTTTCACCTTAATAAGTAAACGACTATTTGAGTGAGTTAAGGCATTAGTTTGCTTCATTAAAGGGTGTTAATGAGTGTTCTCCAGTGCCTTTTGTCCGCTTTAAGGTGTTATTAAGGTAGGGTTAATGTTGCTCTCAAAGTGCACCAGATTGATGCTTTCAACTTCAATATTTAAAAAAAAATCTTCCCGGGGGAACATGCCCCCGGACCCCCCAAGAGGAGGCGACGACCCCCCTAAAGGATGTTCGGTCCACCCCCAGGCAGGGCTAGCACTGTACCCCTGCACCCCTCCCCCCCAACAACTCCTGGGCTAAGCCCCGGATCTCCTACAATCCTAAATCCGCCTCTGGTCAGCAGGCGGTGCTTTCACTGAGTTGAGCTCTTAGCCTGCAACCTAACCTGCTCCGGGGCAGGTTAGCCGCTCAGCATAAGTTACCATGGAGATCTAGCCCGCTAAAAAGAGAACCAGCGTCGTAGGACCGGAAACCCTGAGTTTTCCCTGAAGTTAGCCAGCTAAGCGAAAATCCTGCTTCGTAGTACAGGCCTCTGGGCTGCTGGGCCTTCTTAAAGGTTGTTTTGTGTTTTTCTGTATTTTTCTTTTTGTGTTTGAATGTTTTGTATGTCTGTTTTACATTAATGGTTGAATCTAGCAATCTTTACAATCATGAATCGCATGTATGCGTAACAAGTCACAGGAACATTATTTGCTATTCATTCCAGACTGGATGAATTAAAGGGTATACAAATCATTCATTTGAATATCAGGAGTATATATTGCCCAAAATTGATTTACTTCGGATATGGGTTGTTCTACATAAACCTAAAATCATCACACTCTCTGAAACTTGGCTTAGTAGTAACATTTCCGATAGTGAACTACAAATCACAAATTATTTGCTTTACAAATCTGATAGATGCAGCAGGGGACCTTCTGACTGAGCTAATTGCTACTTCTATAGAGCCTCTACATTTTGAATGCATTTTTCTTAAAATTATTTTTCATGAAAATAAATGCTTAACTATTGGTAGCATCTATAGGCCACCTTCTTCACCTGCAGAGTCTTTTAACCACATAATTGACACTATCAACTCCATTTCCTGCGGAAATGAAATAATCTTGCTTGGTGATTTCAACAAAATTTGGTTGGATAAATCATCTGATAGAGAGAAAAGACTTTTCAGTAGTCTAAATGTTAAACAGCTAATTAATGAGCCAACTCGTATCACTCTTAGAACCCAATCTCTGCTTGACTGATGTCACATCCTGACAGAATCTTAAAAGCTGGTGTCATGTCGGATTGCTTCAGCAATCATTCAATTGTTTATTGCGTATGGAAATCTAATTAATTAAACTACCTCCAAAACTAGTCAAAATCAGACAATATAAAAAATGGAATGTTGATTTATTTATTAATGATGTTGTTGCCCTTAATTGGGACAGATTTCAACTAATACCTTTTGTACAAGATGCTTGGGATTTTCTGCATAAAGAGCTCACTGATGTCATGAACAAACATGCACCTGTGAGAACGGTTAAGGTCAAAGGTCAACATCTCCCTTGGATCAATTCTGAACTCATCAGTCTCTTTAGGGAAAGGGATAAAGCATGGTCGATATATCGTCATTCAAGAACTATAGCCGATTGGGAAGTATACAGGCATCTCCGAAATCTGAGTAAAACCAAAACACGAAATGCTAAATCGAACTACTATAAAGAATCTCTCACATCGGACTTTAAGAATCCCAAGCAATTTTGGACTAAAATTAAATCGATTTTAAATAAATCAGGTAAACATTCTATTAATAAAATAAGAACTGCTGATACAATAATTCATGGCCCATTATCCATTGCCCAAATATTTAATCAGCATTTCGCTAATGTATGTTCCACACTACTATCTGACTCCTATTTGACGACTGGTATTTCTAATAGTACTGTAACTCATACTGCAACAGTTCTTTTTCTTTTAAGAAGATTCTACCACACGAAGTTCATAATGCTATCACAGAATTAAAAGTGGATGGCAGTGCAGGACTCGATGGTATAGAAAACAGGTTCATCAAATTGGCGTCCCATATTCTCATGTACCCACTTGCTGATTTGTTCAACCTGTCTTTGTCCACCTGGCTATTTGGAAATGTGCACGCATCATTCCACTGCATAAAGGTGGTGATTTACTTGATACAAATAATTATAGACCAATCTCTATAATCTGTTCTATTTCCAAAGTTTTGGAGAAAATAATTTATAATCAACTGTCACATTATCTCAATACTTATAATATTTTATCCCCGGTTCAATCTGGTTTCAGGCCTAATCACTCCACAACAACTGCCCTACTTAAATTGACGAATGTTGGTGTATGGCTAGACTCTGAACTTTCATTTTAAACTACATATAAAGCATGTAATACAAAAAGTCAATTACGGAATCAGTGTTTTACACCGCTCTCGCAATTGTTTTACGCTCAGTGTCCGAAAGAGAATTGCTTCTCAACTTATTCTTCCGATTATGGACTATTGTGATGTTGTCTACCAAAATGCACATAAATCAGATCTTGCTCCACTCAACATAGCCTACAATAGACTATGCAGATTTGTTCTTGGTTGTCCTTTTCGTACACATCACTGCACAATGTATAACCAACTTAAATGGCCTTCTTTAAATGTAAGAAGACACATGCATTGGCTTCAGCTGATATTTAAATGCATTTCTCTTAACTATCCCCCTTATTTAAAGCAGTATTTTGTACCCTACTCACCAATTCATCAAGTTAGACATTCTGTTCAGATTTATTTCTCTGTCCCCTCCCCATTGATTAATGGTGTACCACAAGTTTCAGTTTTAGGTCCGCTATTATTCTCTATCTATATTAATAGTTTAGGTGAAAATGTCGAAGGAGCAACCTTACATTTTTATGCGGACGATACCGTTATGGACTGTGCAGGTCCCTCGATTAACGAGGCTGTTGTTAAATTACAGGCTGTTTTTAACATTATTCAGGCTCAGCTCTCTGAGCTTAAGCTTCTTTTAAATGTGGATAAAACCAAGGTAATGCACTTTTCGAAAGCTAAAGCTAAAAATACACCAGAGACTGCTTTGGATATTGTAACTACGCAAGGAATACAACTTGAAGTGGTTACCTGTTACAAATACTTGGGTATCTGGCTTGATGACTGTCTCACTTTTAAACTTCATGTCAATAACCTGCTTAAAAAGCTGAGGGTTAGGCTAGGTTTCTTTTACAGAAATAAGTCCTGTTTCTCGCTTGAGGCCAGGAAAAGGCTAGTCACTGTGACCTTTTTACCTGTGCTGGACTATGGTGATTTGTTATATATGAATGCACCTGCCAATTACCTGAGCAAGTTAGATGCTGCGTATCACAGTGCACTGAGATTTTTGACAAATTGTAAAGCACTCACGCATCACTGTACCCTGTATACCAAGGCGGTTATGCCATCACTTACTGTACGGAGGCTCAGTCACTGGTACTTTTTCATTTACAAAGCCATGTTGGATAAACTACCATCTTATATCTGCTCCCTGATCTCTCTGCGAATTGAAAGTACTTATTGCCTGAGATCGCATGCTGTGGTTTTATTAAATGTGCCAAGTGCTAGGACTGTCTTAGGGAAGAAAGCTTTTAGATGTGCAGCTCCACTAACATGGAACAGTCTGCAAAAAGAATGGAAAATTACCAAGCTAGTACCACTACATGTTTTTAAAGCTCGGTTGGATGCTACAAAATCAGATGCTGTTGGTACCTGTACTTGTGGTTAAATATGTAAATTGTAATCCCTGTACATTTTGCTGTATGATGTCCTTTTGTTGTTCTGTTGTTTATATGTTTTTATGTCTTCTTGTGGAACCTACTGCTGCAGGTCTCCCTTGAAAAAGAGATCATTGATCTCAATGGGATTTTACCTGGATAAATAAAGGTTTTGAATTGAATTGAATTGAATTGATTGGCAGAAGAGCGTTTATGTTCAAAGCCCCAACTGACTGGAATACTTTACCTGCTGCTATTAGATCTCTTGCATCATTGGGTATATTTAAACATGCATTGTTATCTCACTTTCAACTGGTCTGTACTTGTTATTAACTGATATTGATGAAACTGATTTGCTTGACTGTCTCAAATTGTAATGATTGTGTGCATTGCTTGAATTCACTTAACAGACTGTATGTGGTTTGTCTTGTGTGTCATGTTTTGCATTTTGTCTTTTTGTTTATGTATGTCTGTAAGTTGTTGCTATTGTCGGGACCCCCTTGAAAACGAGATGGTGCATCTCAAGGGGTTTATCCCAATGAATAAAATGTCTATATATATATAAGCAAGGAATATTTCAGCTGTTAGATGATGAACATATTTTAAGAATTGTGCATTCAAAACACTTATCAATAGATTCAAGAATGCCTGTAACATGGTGGACACTTTTAACAAGCCGTCATTCAGATGAAATAACAACAAATCATGGAAAATGATCGATGGAATGGCACGGAATGCTAGGAATGACCCCTGTAGTACTATTGATACATGGCGTACCATTCGAACTCAGCTCTTCCTTGAAGGTGTTCCTCACAGTCTGGTTTTTCAGCGTTCCGTTAAATGAAAAGACGATGGAATCTTCTATGTTTGCCTCCAGATCACAGCCGGTCCTGTCACTGCCGCGGTGAACGTACGATGGGCACTCTTTAATGACATCGTTGTTTAAGCTGGGAAAGACAGAGAAAACGCAGTGAAGTTAGGCCAAAAAAACACCTCAGAGAAGTCAACAATTGAACAAATTAGCTGAACCATTTCACAAACATCTAAATAAAAATATATACAACTCACACCTGGCCTAGAGGACACCACTGGGTTCAATACAATTTAAAAAAGAGTTTGACGTTTTATGGAAGTATTAATACTCCTAAATATGAAGATAAATAAGACGGTTAGCTTAGCTTAGCATAGATTGAAAACAAGGGTAAACAGCTAGCTGCTAGCCTAACTCTCTGTAGAGGAAATAACATTTAGCTTTATATCATTTCTAATTTAATTTAATTAACACGCAACACCCTATTTATTTTTAAATTCATAAAAAATACTGACGTAAAAATCTACTTTTTCTTTAATCTTCAGACTTTTCGAACTTTCCAGAAGTCCGGAGCTGACTTTTTGTGTTGATTGATTTATTAGTTTGCTGAATCAGGAAATCAAATTTTGAAACCTGATACCTATTCTCGAGGTAAAAAAGGTAAAGTGTACCTTTTCACATGTTTCAACATTTGTTTGCCTAAATTCCTTAAAGGTCTCCTATCATGCGTAATGGAGCATCACATTCCCAGGGAATATAGCATTAAAAAATGAATATTCTCCATAAGGGAATGAAGGTAGGCTAAATAGGCTACCTTTCATTTATAAAAAGTAGAAACCAAAGTCCCACTTGTTAAAACGATCAAAGAGGGGGGAAAAGGGCAGCTCTCTAAGTGCCGACAGGCAGGAGACAGGGCACGCAGTTGAGTCCCCGACATTACTCACTCTGACAGGACACTCAGTACTGAGTGTGTCAGAGAGGAATGGGAGACATCCTTCAAATAAAAACGAATAAAAGAACAGGGTGAAGACCAAGATGCAGCAGTGCAAATGTCTTCCACTGTCATTCCTCCGTGCAAAGCCTTAGAGGTTGAAATTCCTCTGGTGCTGTGTGCTTTGATGTTCTCTGGGGGATCCAACCCAGAGGAGACATACGCCTGTGTGACACAGCCTCACACAGCCCGTGTGACAGGCGTTGTGCAGACAGGCTGCCCTAATGAGCGCTCTCTATAATGCACAATCAGACGCTGGGAACTGCGTAAAGCAGCCGTGCGTGCAATATAGCATGACAGCGTGCGCAGTGCGCACGGGACAGAGGAGATGAGATGTGGCTTCCTCCTCTGATGTGTGAGGAGGAGGAAAGAAGCCATCCAAAGTTATCACTCTAGATCTAAAAGAGCTTGTGATCACCTTTGGCATAAAAGCCGGGTTAGGGCGCAACACAGCTGAGCTGCCATCTCCTTGGATCTGGAGACATGACGGAGCCACAGAGAGGGCAGACAAATCACTCACCACTCAACCACTCAACACTCAAGTGTTGGATTACTTTCCATACGGAGAAAGTAAAAAATCCAGTTTATAAGGAGAGACTAGTGAGCCGGCCCCACTGCCTGCGACATGCACGTTCCTCAGCCTGCGAGAGATGCGTCTGTGAACACTGTGGTGTGTGACGTCACTCTGCTCAGGGACACCCCCACTGACAGGAGGTGGAGATTTTTCCAGTAGGTCAAATCCAAACCCACCGAAGGAGGAATGTACACCTCTGACGCACAGGGTCGATGCGCAGGCGAATAAACCACCTCTGGAGTCTCCTTACTGTGAAGGAGACCCAGGGGGATCACCACGTGACCAGCTGACATCATGTCTAACAGCTGCATCACGGAGAGGGCTGTCACCAGCCCGCGGGGTGTGACGCGCCAGAGGAGAGCTGTCACTTCCTCCCCTCTCTGCTGTGAGAGTCGCGCTCTCATGCGGGCTGAGTTCAATTCCACTCCCAGTTAAATGATAACCTGGGAGGGAAGAGGACAGCTCTTATTCCAGTTGATAATGAAACCCAGGCTTGACAGATGAGATACGAGCTGTATCGTCTGTAAAGCCGCTTCCTCCCTAGAGCGAGCCAGCCACAGCCGGTCGTCCAGGTAAAATAACACTCTCATCCCCATTCTGAGTAGCTGCTCCAACCGTCTCCACCAACTTTGAAAAAGTGCGTGGAGCCAGGAATGAGAAACGCAGGAATTTGCTGTGTTTCGGGATGATGGTTACGTGGAAGAATCATAGGGAATAATGCATCCTTCAGGATTATGGATGTGAACCAGTCTCCCTGGTGAACACACTCCAGCACCTGTTTGATCGTCAGCATGGGAAAAGGCCATTCCCTTGTTGGACACTGACAGATCATGTGTCAGTGTCGGAAGATAAATGTGTCTCATTCCCCCCGCGCCGTCTTCTTCGGGACCAGAAAATAGCGGGAGTAAAAACCCCTGATTTTCTTCCCCTTGAGGAACCCTGGAAAAAGGCTTTCTTTAACAAGAGTTCCTGCCGCTCTGCACGGAGCGCGAGACACTGTTCCTGTGATGACAATGTGCAGTGCTGTCCACACAAGGCGTAATAATGGCCCCTGTGGGCTCATTACGACCGTGGGTAGGAGGTAAGTCTGAGACAGAGGAACAATCCGTGCTGCCTAATAACCAAAAGGTTAAGGCGAGACACCCCAGATGAATAGGGTACTTTTTTTTTACTTAAAGATAGAAAGCTATACATGTATCCAGTTAATTACTTACAATAAGGCAATTGTCTTTTGTATTACAAGTTTTCTGAAATAGCATGTTTAAATATGCTAATTAACCATTATCTCATTACATATGTGCAATTTTAACACATTTCAGGAATCTAAATCTCAACTTTGGATAAAGCCAGGTTCAAAATTCTGGTTTCATTTTGTAGTCATATTAGTATCTAAGGCTTTTACAGAAGGGATTTTGGATATCTCTTTGTATCACTCCATAAATCAGAAAATACTGTCAACAGCCCTAAAATATCAATTTTCGCCATGTTTTTAGGTATACAATGTTGTATAATTCAGGCTATGAAGGATATATGAACAAACCCTTCTGCAAAAGCCTTCATAATATTGATAGGAATATAACTGGAAGGTTTGGTGTATGTACGTGCAACTGAAGTGGAGATTTCGAACTCAGAGTAGGAGAAACAACTAATTTTGAGAAAAGGACCTTTAAAGATTGCAGTGAGGCGCTAGCTAAATCCTCCTGTTCTTTGGATGACAGCTTGCGCCTCGACGCACTCCGTGAAGGTATTTCATGATCAGGGAGGGTCATTTGTTTTTTGTATAACATTGCTTCGTGCAAGTGACAATTGTTGTCGTCTTCTCTGCGAACGTTTTTTTCGCTGTTCTTTTGCCATTTTGAGATTTAAATTTCTAGCGGAAAGCTAACCAGGAAGTGTTTTAGCACACCACGTGACACATCTGAACGAATCACGTTATCAGAAATTGACACCAGCCAATGAGATTTCGTTTCTTGGTTTAAGACCCCTTTGTACTTTCACGATTGGTTGCTGATACAAAAGGAAATCACCATATTTGGATCCGATGAGATTGTGCAGGAGAAACTGAACTTTGCAACGATATATCTGATGTGATGACATGGTGCAAACAGCGATCGCGGTACTTTATGTTACGTTAGAATGCTAACTTTTTAACGCAAATAGACAAACTAGTAAAATAAACACTTAAATGTGTATTTTGTACGTTTTACTTCCAAAAGCCTGAAAGAAAACATGTTATGGAATCAAAATAGCACAACATCTCAAAATTGACCAGTGCATGAAAAACGATGTTTTTGCCTGCCGTGTCTCGTTGGTTACTTTCCCTGATGGAGAATATTCATTTTTTAATGCTATATTCCCTGGGAATGTGATGCTCCATTACGCATGGTGAAATGGACATGGGTTATTAATTGAGCAGGTGTGTTTTTGTGCTTCTGGTAAGTTCGGACGGACCAGTGGGGCGTAGACCAGGTTCTCAACTGGTGGGTCGTGACCAGACTGTAGGTCGCGAACCAAAAGTGGGTCGCGGACCCGTTTGGAGTGGGTCGCGGATGTGTGAGTGAAGAGAAAAAAATGTTTTAAAAAAATTTAATTTAATTTTTTTTTTTTGGGGGAAAAAGTCAAACTTTTATTTTTCTAACGCTGTGCATGCAGTCGGCGTTGGACTGGAAGCAACGGAGACCATAAACATCTTCTCAATAAAATATCTGATGTTTTTTCGAGTCTTCTGGCCAATCAGAATCAAGATTGTTGCCGGAAGTCCCCACGGAGAATAATAATAATAATAATTATACATCCATGGGTACAAAAATGAACACATAATGAAATATGACCCCCGGTTTGATGATTGACAGGTCACAGAACAATGGGAGCTATCTACCTTTACCCACAATTTAAAGTAAGTCACACAGACTATCTCCTCTTTACTCTTCTCGCAGCAAGATGTCAGAACAAAGTGAAAAACAAACAATGGCATAAAATATTATTAACATGTCGGGTAGTAATACATCTATTTATTTTCTTCTCAGAGTGTACCAGAATGCATAGTTTATGTTAGTATTTCTAAAATTCTCCTGGGGGAGAATCCCCCCAGACCCCCCTTCTGGGGTTGGGTTTTCAGCATGTGGGCCTTTTTATATAGTTCAGCTTTGATTCCATCATCTCATTAAACCTTTTTTAAAAGCATACTTTAGTTCTGTGAAGGGATATAAGGGATATATACACTGTACTTCACCTTTATTAATATTGTATGCTGAAAAGCGTATATATTACAGCACAATTTTTTGGGGTAGATAGATTTGAGTGCTTCAAAATGTTGGGTCGCGATGTATTGACCAAGTAAAAAGTGGGTCCCGAGGCCTGACCAGTTGAGAACCACTGGCCTAGACTACATCCTGCTTCGCCCTTAACCCAATAGCGATAGCCTTAGAGGGCGAAGCCTTATACGATATAGAACTGGGGTTACATACTGTAACCCAGTTTCTATGAGTATAGGTGCAGCCCTCTAAGATTCGGGAATAGCTGAAGAAAAGCTGTTTGTGTGGGAGCAGATTGTAGAGACTACTTCCTATTTATACGGAAGTGAGTCCGTAGGTGGGGCCCACGTCATAGGTGGGCGTGGATTAAGTCTGTCAGTGCTGCACACTTGCAGTGGGATTACCCAATAGCGATAGCCTTAGAGGGTGAAGCTTTATACGATATAGAACAAGAGACCCGGGCCCTTTCTCATTTCATCAAATCCCCCTCCTCGACTCCTCGGTCCTCCGGTAGTGACCCGGAAATTAATTTCAGCACGCCATGTTGAAGGACATCTCATTTCTCTAAATGCACTTCGAGGACCGAGGATCGAGCGTCGAGGAGGCTCTCTGGAGGAGCTATACCCGAGGATACATTGATGGGTCCTCCACGGCTCCTTCGTGGATGCATTTCCGGGAACAGAGATGTTTCAAAGCGTCGTGACGCACGGCCGGATTTATCTCAGCCAATGACAGCTCTGCATGCGTCCCCTGGATATTATTGTATTAACTGCTTTCATCGCAACGCGATGTTTACAGTGAGAACAGCTGTGAGGTCCATGCAGAAAGCAGAGCAGTGTGTAAAATATATATCACTCAGTATAACAGGCCTACTCTCTTTATTTGCTTTAGTTTAGTAGATATCTACAAACAAAGAGTCGATATTTTTCTAAAACCATTTAGTGCTTCACATAATAAAATACACAACGTACTAATACTAAATACATTTGAAGCCTTTTTATATAAGCTGTCCACCATGTCAATAAGTTTCTCTTTTTGTAGTGTATTGGTCTTTTGTAGAGGTTTTTCATTGCCAGTTAAAATCTTGCCTAGGGCAGCAAATTGGTCAGAACCGGCCCTGGTGTCATCCCCACAGCACCCCCCATTTGAAACATGTTGCCACGGCTATGGTTACGGCTCTGAGTCCCCTAGAGTCTGCAGGAAGTTTCACTGCTCCGCGTCCCCTGAGCCAAACGATAACTTCTGGCAGCTATCCTACTTGCTAAAGGATAGGCAGATGGACTGGGGTACGTTGTAATGTGATTTTACTTAAACTTAAATTGACAAGAGACTCGATGAATAAACATTCCAAGAGTCAACAAAAAGTCTCCTAAACTTAAACTGACACCCGATAAAAAGCGAGGTCGACGAACACGGGGATTTTAGCCTCAGTTAAACAAAAAGTATTTCCTGCCACTCGGGTTCTGCTGAATCTTATGTGATGAAGCTGTGTGTATCAGGAGATTTTGAAATACAGCTTACTCATTTACATTGGGTAACAGCTAGTCGGTCCTGTTTACTGTGACACAACAGCACTGCACACCAATGTGTTTTTCCATTCAATTCAATTCAAATAGGGTAATTGGCATGACCATAATGACCTACAGTATGGCCAAAGCTTTGTACAATTGCGACATCTATATACAGTATAAATATACATTTGGGCGGTTATAATAATAATAATAATAATAATACACATTATTTATATGGTGCTCAAAACTCTTAATTATTGTATACTATTATAGTTATGTTCATAACCATTTTGAGCGAAAAGCAATAACAACATGTTTTCTTTACAAGGAAACCAATATAGTATATGAACATGAATTATTTATTTATTTAAAACACAGATAGAAAAAGTTAAGGTGAGTTATTGACTATTTTGCAGCATAATTCTGATGATGAATTCATATAATACATTAATAAGAAAATAATAATAGAAAATAAAAAGACCTGAGATGTGAGTCTAGTAAGATTTTTAGTTTTCTTTTTCAAAGAATTGAGGATGAGGTTTGAATTGTGGGCATTGTATGAGGAAGTGCTGCGTTGTTCCCACAGCAGTTCCTCCACGCTGTTGGTATAATGGCTCCTCTTTTGGCAGCCATGTTTTCTTACATCTGCCTGTCTCTAAGGCCAGGCAGGGAACACTGTCTGCACTTTGTCAACATGCGTCTGTGTTTAGCAAAAAATAAACTCACTGATAGAAAAAACCCAGATTTGAGGGAGTGTGAGCGGTCTGTTTCCAGATGCAGTGAGTTTCCGTGGGGGTAGTAATGAAGCACTGCAAGTCCTTCACCAGATCTGGCAGGATATGACACACACACACACACACACACACACACACACACACACACACACACACACACACACACACACACACACACACACACACACACACACACACACACACACACACACACACACACACACACACACACAGCATTATAAACAAACACATGGTAATGCAATTTCAACTGCAGCAGAAGCATTCAGCTACCTGGGTAAGTGACGATCACTGGCTCGTATCTTGCACAACTACTGTTTACAGACACATTCAGAAACCCCCCGCACATCACCATCTTCAGGCTCAAGGGGGACGTGGCTGAGTTCTAAATCCACCAAGAATAGGAAAGCGGAACAAAACAAAAACAATGAGGAACAAAAAGCAGTACTTTCCAGGAATTATAACATGTTATTCGCGTGCTAACACATTGAACTACCAAACTAGGTGTAAAGCAGCTGGAAATTGCTCCATCCTGAAACATATAAATGCTGCTTATACATTTATTTTAGATAATAATAATTAAAAAAGCTATATTTCAATATAGATTATAATACCACAGCCTGAAAGGGGACATTCTGAGTTTTATCTTTGCTACTTTAGAGTTTTTCAATTATACTTCTCGGATTATAACATGTAATGCAATATATTTTACATCATAGTCTTTCAACATCTTTATCTTTACACAACGCACTGAATACTTCTTCAAACAAGCAACTTCCTAAAAAAATGTAGAAATGTCCCCACACGAAAATAATGTAATAATTTATGTAAACATAATATAACAAAACAATATATTATTATAGATATAATAATAATAAGAGAGTCTATGCATGTTTTAAGATTTCTAACAATGATATAAAAAACATTAGTAAATTGAGGTTATTGTTATCCAGGAAATGATGGAACTAAAATAGGTGCTGTATACACTGAAAAACTATTAAATACAATTACATTCAAACCAAAAAACGAAATGCATGCATACTCACATGTGTCTCACTTTTAAATTTGTCTTTTAGTTCTGCAGTCAGATCATATCTGCAGTTTTTCACCAGGTGCTGTGCTGGTTCCCAGGTCACCTTCTGCTCGAAATCATTAATCCATTGTAGGGACACATTTTGTGGTAATCCTTCGGTAAAGAAAGAGAAAATACAGACATTTGATAAAACATAATTCCTTGATACAGATATAAAAAACATATGAACTTATCCGGAGATAAAAGCTACTTCATCTTAATTGGGTCATGTGAAGCCAATGACCACATTTCCCACAGTTCATAGCTTTCTTCAAGAAAGTGAAACGGTAAACATTTACATTTTGATATCACTTAAGAGATCATCAAATAAGTATAGTATTTACAAAGACACATTGCCTGCACGGTAACTTGCATATGTTATTATTATCATTTATGTAGGAAATAATGGGAGTTTTCCTTTCCTTTCCATGGAATGTGACCCGTGAATCATTACCGACTACTAGTTCTTAGAAATAACTCTTATTCCCTGGAACAACTGTGAGACAATTCTTTTTGACACAGTAAAATACTTATATTTGAGCCTGTATGTAGTTAGAGTTATTCATTTATTTATTTTAATTTGTCATTTTTGTTAAAGTGACACTTTGATGCAGATATCATTTATTTACAGAGGTGAACAAAGTATTCAGATTCTTTACTTGAGAAAAAGTAATAATACCAAACTGTACAAATACTCCATTTCAAGTACTGCATCAAGATGGTAAAAGCGTTTAATATAGCCTATATTTTAACAAAAAACTTCTTAGCAAAATTGCTGCTTAAATATAATTTTGGAGGGATTCATCTATACCAAATAATTGTGTTGTGTGTCAAAATCTGAATTTAGTAAGTAAAAGTAAATAAATCTGGACAATACATGTAAAAAGTACAACCTTTGCTTCTAACATGTAGTAGAGTAGAAGTATAAAGCAGTATACGATGAAAATAATTGGATAAAGTACTTCAAATGTATACTTAAGTTAAAGTACAGTACTTGAGTAGAAGTAGGCCTACTTTCCACCGCTGTTTATTAACAGAACATTATTGTTAGACAGACTGTCTGGCTTTAATATGCCTGCACTGCACCTCCAAGGTGCGCAATACATTATTAGGCAATCTATAACAACTAACTGTATCGTCGTCTCAGAATGCTTGTTTTCCTGCTCTGTAGTGACGTCAGTACTGGGAAAACACCGCTGGGTAAATTCCATCAAGGGAGCAGATTGAGAACACAAACGTTGGGAAAAGTACCACAGCAAGTTTTGTTGTAAATATGTTCTTACCGTCTTGAGACAGGACCTTTAAAAAGAGGCAGCTTAAAACGAAGATGTCCCGACTTTCATACATCCCGGTTTTCCTGTCTGAGTTTCGATAGTAACAAAATGTATTGGTAAATTATTCTCGTTTCTAACGACGACCACCTGGTGTCAGGCCTGCTGTCACGGTTTCTAAAAAGACAGTAAATGTACGTGTTTTAATCATAGACTGTATATATAAAGGTTTTAATCTAACCTTCCAGTTTGCTCTGAAATATATGAGACCTGTTGGAGGCGGGAAATGGGCGTAGACTAGAGCTTCCCTTTTCTGGACAAGGGCGAGTGCCAGTATTTTACAATATAATAATAGCCTACTTTGAATATACGTTTGTGGTGGAAAATAACTAGGTTATTAACCCACACATTTGAGGTAGGCCTACTCAGTTATTGTACTTAACTAAAAGTAGAAGTACCACAGTGTAGAAATACTTTACTTTTTCAAGTAAATGTCCTGCATTCAAAAGGTTACTCAAGTAAAAGTACAAAAAGTAGTAGCATACAAATATACTTAAATTACCAAAAGTAAAAGTAGTCATTTTGCAGATTGGTCCTTTTCAGAATAATATGATGTGTTTTATATTGATCATTAAAGTGTTATCAAAGCTGGTAAAGGTGCAGCTAGTTTGAATGACTTTGTATACTGCAGGGTTGCGAATTTACTCCAGGTCTGTTTAAGAGTTGAATATATTTCACATCATTAGTCCAGGTACACAATTAATGTAGTGGAGTAAAAGTACAAAGTAGCATTAAAAGGAAATACTCAAGTAAAGTACAAGTATCTCCAAATTATACTTAAGTAAAGTACTTGAGTAAATAGTTACTTCCCACCTCGGCTCAATACATTTATTTTAAAGATGTATTCACACGTTTCTTTATAAATTCAGATTTGTATACACAATACTTGGGGAAAACTTTTAAAATATGAGTATTTGGTATATATTAAAACATCCAACATTATATTTAATTTAATAAAACCAGGAGTGGGACGATATGAAATGACTGGATGCAACACAGAAGCTGTTATTCTTATTCATAGTTTTGTAATCCATAAAGTATCATCCTTGATATAGCGCATGTTTTAAAAATAACCTAGAAACTGGGACTTGCCCACTGACTAACAGATCCAATGAAAATGTGTGCAAGTTGTGACAAGTCAAAGTATCCTTGCTTCTAAAGAATGCTAAGACAGCACGCAATCACGACCGAGCAACACATTATACTTTCAATGTCTCTTTCTTTATTATCTCTAAGCTGTGAAAATAAGCAATCACTCAACAGATAATGTTTGCGTACCAAAGCGACAAGAGAACAAAGAAAGAACACATTTCTGCTTTTTAAGGAAGGAAGGGAGTGTGACTTTGATATGGCATTTTGGATGTGGGTGATTCTGTGAGCAAGCAGACAGAAAACACAGAATCAACAGACTGACTGAAAGCTAAGTTGTCAGTTTTTTGCCCTCATGCCTTCACAGTTCTCTGGTATTGTCCTCTTTCCAGAAATGGTTTAAAGCTGTGATTATACGCTTAACCCCACAGGTTGGAATTCCAAGCGATTGTCGTAAAAACAATTAGGGATCAGTATGTGCTTTTAATTTAAGTTATTGCTTCCTTTCCCACTGTCTTGCTGTCATACTGGCATTTGAGTCCTACATCCTGTGCCAAGACATTTAGTACAGTAGAAATCCATAGGGCCACCCGCTTCTCGTACTACTCTCGTCTTCCTCCATAGTTAGGATCCGCTTTTTCATTTTAAGAGCCAATGTCCTGTGAAGGGGAGGACTCAGCAGTGTACATCAACACTACCTTTACGTAATAGCAGCTGAAAATCTGGTTTTTCCACGACTTCATGAAAGGTGAAGTTCTTCCCTGAGCTGCAGTCAGACAGGTCTGTGAAGATGCAAAAACAGCTTGACTTGAAACTTTACACCACTAGAGGTCAGTGGATTACAGCGTTTCAGCCAGTTTTTGAGCTACTCAGTCAATGTTCCTGATGAGTTGGCCCTGAGTGGAAGTCCAGCTTCACTGCGGGCATTCTACTGTGCGTGTTCACGTCAGGAGATTTGCTCTATACAATAGGTCACTGTTTTCAGCTACCACGGTAACTTTACAGGATTCAATAGGTTCTGGTACCGGCGTGTACAAATTCCCTGTCGTCTGAAAAAAACAAAACAGTGTTAAATTCATATTTTTGGGAGCACACCATACACACATTTGTTTTCTTTCCTCGAAAAAATACCTTATGATCTTTGTTCCCATGTATCATCATTTCCTTGAATATTGCGGAAGGGTCTGGTATGATGGGGCACAAAATGGAGCTGTGCCTACAAACACACACAATGACACAGATTAACAGCCAGCATACAATGTTGTCACCACCAATGTTTCATATTTAACAGGCAAACATAACATTATTTATTACAATATTCAAACACATATTGTTCTTATTGGTGGAAAAAACGCATCACATGCAGGATATTATTCAAAGGTATTAAGATATTTGGTAAACATGTCTGCAGGGGATTTTTAAAGGAACAGTTCACCCCAAATATACATTTGAAAACTCCACTTCAATGTTGCTTTCCAGAAATGATAAACCGGTTATAGATTACTTGTTGCAGTTCCATGGGCACTAAAACTACTTGCGGTGGATTATCCGAAGTGTGAAGGGCGTGATTTCTGGAGAAAGACATTGCTGTTGAGTTTCTCGAGAATTATTTTTGGGGCTTTGAGCACCACACGTCATCGAGTTATATTATGGAAAGAAGGCAGACCAAAAACTCAAACTCAAACTATTTTAATTGATTTCATTTCCACTGTCCTAACTTTCCAACCCTTTTTTTATACATATTTTTTAGTTCTCACATTTATTTATCTCCATTTGTATTCTTCTTTTCTGTCATGTTTTCTTTATTTGCATGGACTGTGTACTGATTCCAAATAGTAGACAAATGTATGATCATGTGTGTATAATGGTGAAACAAAGCACTACAGGTAGGAGGAAATGCATTCTGGATTATAGAGTTTATCTTCTCTTAAAGCAGGGGTGGGGAACCTTTTTCCTCTCAAGGGCCATTTCAATGTTTTCAACATCCTCCGAGGGCCGTACAAATGATTGACCTCTGCTTAAAAATACTAAAATCACAGCCCATTCATTTCACCTTTCTTTCATGCTGTGCAAAGAAAAAGCAACCTCTTAATCCAGATATTTTACCATGACTCGCACATGCATTCACGTGCACGGTTGTGGCATGACCACCAAAACAGAAAGATATGGACACAAGATGTGTGCAAATGTATTTAGTTTCCAAAGATTTTTGCACTTTGAGAGCAACGTTAGATCTATGGAAACATCTCTCAACACCCAGATGAAACAGAACTGTAAGCAGATTTATTATTCTTTATGGATATTTTACAAATCACTCTCCTTTCAAACTGTATTCTTGTTTATTAATAACAACTTTTTGTTACCGTCATATGGTATTTTATACCTGTTTGCTTTATTCTCTTATTTTTGTATAACTTTAATGATCATATAAAGATGTGCCTTTACCTCACTGGTTGTAGAAAAAGCTTCTTATATTTGTTAGCATATCTAGCTAACCAGATGCTAATAACAACAAAGTTATTGACTGTATGATCAGTATGACAGATGAGCAGATCGCCACTGGGCTTACAACTAAAGACACAGCCACGCAAAAACTGCGGCATGTATACGGCTCCTTATGGGTACTGCAATTTTTGGAAGTGCAGGAGCGGAGCGGCGTTCTGGTGCTCTCAGTCAGAACTGAACCCCTGTCAGACGAGACATATACCACGTGATGACACGTTAGGCTTGTGTTGTGTTCAAGGATCCCGACCTTGGCCAGGAAAAACAGGCACTCGCTTGTTTAATTTTTTTGCGGTCTAGATTTCTTTAATTTTTTTCTTTTTTGCGTGTGTTTATAAATGACCTCGAGGGCCGTACCAAATTGTCTCGCGGGCCGTATACGGCCCGGGGGCCGCAGATTCCCCACTCCTGTCTTAAAGCTACAAACCCTCACTGACTTGGGGCAATAAGCATTCCTCTCCTATGATTTGTTTTCATTGTAGCTCCTATACTATCTGTGCCTAAGGGTGAGGCGGGTTAATCATCTATTTTCCACCCACACACTCTCACTGATTGAAGCGCTGCTGTGGCAAGGCCTTATGCCTCAAATGCACCAAATCAGCCTTTATACGAGGTGTGGCAAGATCTCAGTGGCATGATCTCAAAGTTGCAGATCTAAACAACTGAACAGCTGTATGCTTACAACTGCTTTTGAAATCGATTGATAAATTCAGTATACGGTTCATTCCAAAATTGGATGACATTTTCTGTCCCAGCTACGCAATTTCAAATAGTCCCTGGCCAAAACATGCACTTGTTGTGTTAAACATACTTGTCCTTAGACAAAATGTGAATAAAGTTGTAGGAAAAGTGGTTTCAAAATATTATTTAAAATATCAAAAGCTCTCGAGCCCCCCTAAAATGGCATTTTTCTCTGGTCCCTCCTTGGTGGCCAACTTCAAATATAACATTTGAAACAGACATTTTAATTGACTTTATTTGCTATTATTTTGTTGATGTCCTCTCTTTTATTTTTCTTATGTTTTCAGTCTAGACTCAAAAGGACCATAACTGCGTTTAAATTATAGTTAGATCAAGAGGTTAATAGACATTTAAAATTGTGATTTCTATTCGATTCTAACCCACCATTGAGCACTGTTGGAAAACAAAAAATAAAACATCGGATTCATTTTTTTAAAGTTTTGACGTCTAAATGTCCTCCAATTCTGGAAGGAGCCACAAAGCCGTTTGAGCTACCCAGAATCACTTCTCTGTTACTAAAACATACTTCCTGACGCAGTAGCAGGACAGAATGATGCAGACGGACAGAATGATGGGGACGACGATGGCGACCACCATCAGTGTCTGGTCAGGAGGCTTGTTAGAACCTGTGATGAAGAAGAGACACATTTTCTTCAACTTTTAACACATTTGAGGTCTAATTAAATATTAAAAGCAGACAGAGCATGTGTCAAACAAAAACATAGATATGAACATGATAGGGAACAACTGATGAGTATAAACTGCTTATTTTTGATATACACACATTAGCCAGCAATCATAAATGTCATCATGGACAAATTCAATGTTTTTCTGAATAATTACTAATGTGCCTTTTTAAGAATAAACTGTAGGGCATAACATGTTGCAAATTAAGGGATCCAATGACAACCATGTTAGTATTTACTGGAGTATAATATTTTAGTAAATTCTTTTTTTCTAAGTGTGATGACACTTACCATATTTTACAACATCGCTAAAATCGCTGGCTAAATCGCAATGGCGTGATTCAGTTCTAGATCGGAACTCGTAAAGGCAGTCTTTATCGTAGCGAATTTCCGAGGGTCCTACTTTCGAAATGCATACCTTAAAAAAGTAAGCAAAAAAAAACAGTGGTGAACTGTATTGTATAGAAAACTTATATG